ATTCTACTGTATTTGGAAACATTTGATAAGATATGAAGTACTTTTTTTTCTTATTGCAGTATAATAATCGGGGTAGTTTCATGTAGTTGATTCTTTGCTTGAAACAATTTCAGGGGAAGATGGTTTGGATATGGTGAACATTAGAGATGTATAGACCTCTTTCAGTCCTTCCTTAGATTATCTCGCTCTTAGCACCAGAGATGGCTGTATCGAGGTATCTTCTGTTTTTTTCTTTGATGGTTTCCTTGGTGCCTTTCAATTTGTATTCAAAGGGAAGATCTTTGGCTTTTAAACTAATGTGTTCTCTTTCTACTTTGTATAGATTTGGGATAGTGTCAAGGGTCAGGTCCAAACAGAGTTTGTTGATATTACATCTACAGAAGAGACGAACATACATACCAAGGATGGGAAAGGCCACCTCTCGGTCGATTATACGTGCATGAAATGGTTTGTCTTTGGAGAAAAAGGTAAAGAGACTTGTTTTTTTATAAAATTTATTACCACCCTGTGGGAGTAGACTAAGTTTGTGAATTCATTGTCTTTGTTGAGAAATAGGCTTTATTCTTGTTATTTGCAGAAGAAGAGAAATCTAGGAAATTCTTTATTGGTATCAATTACCATGTCATATTTAATTAGACTGGATAGTTTTCCTTATTATGTGGAGTAGAGTTTTGACATATGGAATTAGAGGATGTTATATGTTAAATCATGTTGTATCTTCTCACTATGGAGGATCAGTTATCCTCGATATTACTTTGTGGATTGCAGTTTACATTTATCTTCCTTTCCTGTCAATAACAATGCCTGACTATAATTTTTATACTTGTGTAGTTACAACATTAGCCCGTGTACATGCGGAGGATGCTTTGCTGCCAATAGCATCAAAAATCAATAGAGTTCATCAATGGTGTCGGTTAGAATTTGTATATGAGATGAACTCTTAAAATTTACCACCATGATTCGCCAATTCTAAAGAACAATTATTGGTTTGAATAATTCACCCCTCTCTATTAGCCAATCACAATTTAGTTAAAAAAAATATATTATATTAAATCACAAAAATAATTATGGGAACCACTAATTCTCTTTCCTAATATGCCAT